ATATAAGTAAAAAATATAAATATTATAAAAATTATATAAATATCGTAAGCATTAAAATTATAAAAAAATTATATACAAAATATATTAATCCTCTCCAAGTAAACTTACCAAATCCACAGTAACAGCACATAGAGCACGTACAGAAGGAGAAATATTTTATTAATATACATATATTAACTTAACTTTTTAGTTAGGAGAAACACGCGCGACGATGCGCGACAATAGTAGTTCGAAATTCGAGTTTTATAGACAGCACGGATTATAATCCAGATTGGTCTAGGAACATTCATTGGTTTAGGAAAGTCTTCAGATTGAATACCACTGCTCAATCCGATTTAGGCCGGTATTCATAGTCAGTTTTTATTTCAAGATTGTCATAAGTAATGTCTTAAGACGCGAATGCAGCCCTTTGATTGGTTCGTGACATCTTAAGACTGTACTTAAGACGATCTTGAATATAAGAATTGTCTATGAATACCGGCCTTAGAGATCCGATTACTTCACGTAAACACCCCCTGATATTACACATGTATATATACCTATAGTATATATACGTTGCTATGCACTTTTTAATGGAATTAATTGATTTAAACGCAATTATTAAGTAAATCTGTTAAAAAAATAAGCGTACGATAAAGTGTACATAAAAATAAGTTAATATTAAAAAAAATTCATACTAATGTGAGTTTGTCACTAGCCCGTGCCGCAAATTGCGCTCCATGTAATATCAGGGGAAAGTAATAGGCGGTACCCGGTACGCGGTTATAACTAACTAGGCAGCTAGAGAACCTCGTACCGCGTACTGCATACCGCGCTCCATGTAATCGCATCCTTACGGTTTACGGCTTGCGATTTTTTTGTAGAATTGCCAATTCCAATTAATAGCGTTTTTTATTGGATACTCAGTGAACTTTTGCATCTAATTGGCATATTCTATTTTAGATCTAAATATATAGATCAAACAGCTCATTGAGCGCTTATTGAACAAGAAAGAAATTAATATGTTTATTTAATAATTTATTATAATATTCGTAATATGTAAAATAACTTATCTGTTATAAATAATTTTTAATATTATATTTTTTTCTTACTTACTTAGTGTTTATTAATTAATACGTTAAACAGGGCGAATAAAAGTCAAATTACAATTTAAAATCTAAATCTGATAATTTATTCTAATATTATACATATATTGCGAAGAATATATCACGTAATTTTTGGCGTTTCGTCCCGGCTTCCACTACTGGACTCATCAGTAAGGCATTGTAGTGGAAGCCTACACCTTATACGCCTTGGTAAGTTATTAAATCGAGATTCTATATAAAGAGATATACGCGTGTCTCAGCACTTGCGAGAATTTGCGAATATCGATAGACCTCTGATGGCGAGTCGACGTAGTGATATTCTTCGCAATATTTATCCAAAGTAGGAAATAACATTCCATTAATATATGTAGTCCCCCCAAATTGCGCGCCGAACAATTGTCGGTCTTGCAACGCAACTCTAATAATAATCTGATTTTTAAATGTCTCCTCTTCCTAATTATTGTAATTTGACTCTTATTCGCCCTGTTTAACGTATTAATTATTATTATATAAAAGGGTCCTTGTAATCTTCAATTTATTAGTATTTATTATTTTTCTAAGGCCGTAAGAGCGGGTGCATTCAAAAGCACGATCGCTCACTGAGCTTTTTTATCTAATTGGCATATTCTATTAGATTTAAAAATATAAACAGATACAAGAGCGAGCTCACTGAGCGCTCAGTGAGCGGTCGTGCTTCTGGATGCACCCAGTGTGAGCACTCAGCGAGCGGTATAAGCGATATAAAACGCTCACATAGCTCACTGAACACTCACACTCTCACAGTCTTAAAAAAATAATAAACGATAATAAGTAAGAAATATAATATTTAAAGTTATTTATAATAGATAAGTTATATTACGTTACGA